CAATTGAAGGATTACTCCTGGAAGGGGGAGTACCTGCATTGTCGTGTCCGATCTTAATCTTCTTCAGGGCTCCGATGTCGACAGCTTCCAGGGTAAACTCATCAGTCTGGCCCCTCTCAAACTTATTTTTGTTGGTTTTGGATGACTTCAGGTTCACCTTGCCTGTGGCAACAAATGCAAACCATCAAACCGTGGCAACGACAATGATGGTGGTGATGAAGCTGATCATGCTGCTGTTGGTTATGATGCTATTCTTCCTGATACTGATCTTTCTCTTGCACGTGATGATGTTTGCGAATAATGCTGCTGCTGATTATGATTATGAGGATGCTTCTCTTGCCGATACTGATGATTGCTGATGTAGATGCTGGTGATGACAACAATGACAGTGATACGGCAATGCCAAATTAGTAGTCAATGGTGATGCAGATGATGATGAGAATGCAGATTATCCCACGATGATGTATATAATAATAATAATGTGACGACGCTGAAAAGGTTGACAACCAGAACCAAAAACATGATGATGTGGAAGGAAGCGACAGCCAAGCGGCAAGTTGCCTCTCTACCTGTGTCGTCCTTCTCTCCGTACAGCACCATGTAGACATTGGCGTCCGTGCCCGATCCACGCTTGTCTCCCGTCTTCACCTTGATGTTGTACGTCGTGAGCTGAGCTGCACAGGCAACGTGCACATTAACACCACACATGTTTCACCATCACCACACTAACACCACACATGTTTCACCATCACCACACAAACACCACACGTGCCTTACCATCACCACACGAACACCACACGTGCCTTACCATCACCACACTAACACCACACACGCCTCACCATCACCACACTAACAACACATACGACTCACCTCACCATCACACACTAACAGCATGCACGACTCGCCATTACCACACTAACACAACACACGCCTTCCCATCACCACACTAACACTACACACGCCTCCCCATTGCCACACTAACACCGTTCACAACTTCCCATCAAGACACGAACACCACACAGGACTCCCAGCGTGGCGAGTGTGAGTTTCCTAGTTCGTAGTGCCTAGTGCCAGGTGGATAGAGCCCTAAGGGCCTGGTGAATGTTGTCCACGTGCCGCCCCCCCGCCCCTGCCTTTCTGCTCCAAGCTGAGGCTGGTGCTGGACTTGGGCCGCTTTGCTGAGCCGAGTGCCGGGGCCTTCGCCCGGGCGGGGTCCTGCGCCACCAGCTCGCGCGCCACCTGCCCATCGTCCTCGTCCACGGCCAGCCAACGCCCGCACGGGAACACGTACCTAGCGTGGTGGGCACAGGTGATGACAACAGGAACACATACCTAGCATGGTAGGCACAGGTGATGACAACGGGAACACGTACCTAGCGTGGTAGGCACAGGTGATGACAACGGGAACACGTACCTAGCGTGGTAGGCACAGGTGATGACAACAGGAACACGTACCTAGCGTGGTAGGCACAGGTGATAACAACAGGAACACGTACCTAGCGTGGTAGGCACAGGTGATGACAAAGGGAACACGTACCTAGCGTGGTGGGCACAGGTGATGACAACAGGACCACGTACCTAGCATGGTAGGCACAGGTGATGACAACAGGAACACGTACCTAGCGCGGTGGGCACAGGTGATGACAAAGGGAACACGTACCTAGCGTGGTGGGCACAGGTGATGACAACAGGACCACGTACCTAGCGTGGTGGGCACAGGTGATGACAACAGGAACACGTACCTAGCGCGGTGGGCACAGGTGATGACAAAGGGAACACGTACCTAGCGTGGTGGGCACAGGTGATGACAACAGGACCACGTACCTAGCGTGGTGGGCACAGGTGATGACAACAGGAACACGTACCTAGCGTGGTAGGCACAGGTGATGACAATGGGAACACGTACCTAGCATGGTAGGCACAGGTGATGACAACAGGAACACGTACCTAGCGTGGTAGGCACAGGTGATGACAATGGGAACACATACCTAGCGTGGTAGGCACAGGTGATGACAACGGGAACACGTACCTAGCGTGGTGGGCACAGGCGATGACAACAGGAACACGTACCTAGCGCGGTGGGCACAGGTGATGACAACAGGAACACGTACCTAGCGTGGTAGGCACAGGTGATGACAACGGGAACACGTACCTAGCGTGGTAGGCACAGGTGATGACAACAGGAACACGTACCTAGCGTGGTAGGCACAGGTGATGACAACGGGAACACGAACCTAGCGCGGTGGGCACAGGTGATGACAACAGGAACACGTACCTAGCGTGGTAGGCACAGGTGATGACAACGGGAACACGTACCTAGCGTGGTAGGCACAGGTGATGACAACAGGAACACGTACCTAGCGTGGTAGGCACAGGTGATGACAACGGGAACACGTACCTAGCGTGGTAGGCACAGGTGATGACAACGGGAACACGAACCTAGCGCGGTGGGCACAGTTGATGACAATGGGAACACGAACCTAGCGCGGTGGGCACAGGTGATGACAATGGGAACACGTACGTAGCATGGCGTGCACAGGTGACAATAACATGGTGGGGCCGGGCACGACACAAAATAAACTAAAACTATAAACTATTTTTTATTTATTTTACCAATTAAGGCCCACTGAGCTACGTAGTTATTTTTCAGAAGTGAGCTGGCCCACAAACGACAGCTCAAAGTAAGTGGCTTATCGTGTGTACAACCCTTCCGACACCCGTGCGCGTCCACCCGCCTGCACGCTCCAACCCTTGCGCCGGCGTGGGTGCCCTCACTTGCGCTGGGACGTCTGCTCCGTGACCTCCACGCGGTCGAGGAACCAGCCGGCGCTAACGCCGCTGTTGTCGTGTCGCAGCCGGACCTTCTTCAGCTCTCCCAGGTCCACGGCCGCGACCGTGAAGACGTCCTCCTGCAGCGGCCGCAGAGCGATGACACAGCGGCAGCCGACGTGATTGCCGACGTGGATGTCCGCCACACACGATTTAAGAGCTGACTCTTTTTTTTTCTGTTTCGTTTGCACTCTCTCATTTCTGTTGTTAGTCTCCTGCATCTCATTTGTTCTGTAATGTCGTATGTATGTTAAGTTTCTTTTGCACCGTACGTAGTCAACCGTGCTAATCGGAGGTGCGGGGGAAGGACAACAAACACCCAACATTTACACGCCTCCAATTAGCACGGTTGCGAAAGAAGTTCAACATAAATACGTTCACATCATGGCGTTTGTGCTGTATAGCTCTGTCCTGTTGGTCGCAACGACTTCTACTCCTCTATACTCTTTGGTTCTTTCGGTAAAGTCACGTAGGTATATTTTCTACCTACGGGACTTTACCGAAAGATTCCTGCAGTCACGAAAGCTTCAAATCAAGTTTCTACTCCTCTGTCAACCATAGCCACGACTCAGGTTGCTCCACCCACTACTTAGCTAGCCCCACCCACTACTCAGGCAGCTCCACCCACTACTCAGGTATCTCCACCCACTACTCAGGTAGCCCCACCCACTACCCAGTTAGCTCCACCCACTACTCAGGTAGCCCCACCTACTCACTACCGCCACTACCATTAGCACCACAATCACCACCACCGGGGGGGGGGCTCACGTTTGCGCGCTCGAACTTGTTGCGGTGCTTCTCGGAATCGCGCAATTGCCGCTCGCCGGAGTCGCCCGCGGTGCCGTAGACGGTGATGAAGACGTTGGCGTTGCTGCCGGCGCCACGCACGTCTCCCGTGAACACGTGCACGCTGTACGTGCATTCTGAGAAGCGATTGCCGGAGTAAACAACGGCAGGAGTGGGGGGGGGTGCAGAAGCAAGAGTGAGTTATCGATCGACGCTGCGGGTCATCGTCGGCGGTCCTCTGTCGACTGGGGTTCATCGGCCGTCTTTACAGGCAGCCCACTATATAACTGGCACGTACTTTATGGGCACGTGACACCATACGTTGAGATGCCCTGTGACTATTATAATGCATCTTGTCAACGGCTCTCTCGTCTCACTTTCACGTCACCAATCTGTGTTGAATTAATACTCGGCGCCTAATATGTCTTGGCGGTTCCCACAGCTCGGTGGGCCACTCCAAGATCCTTCCCAGGCCACATGTGGCCCATTGACTGCCAATTGAGGAATCCTGCTAAAGACAATGCGATCGTACTAAACAATATCAACCACTTTAATTGTATTTAATTGTTAAAACAAACACTCACATCCCCTGGGTGGGTGTGAACTACCAACCTTTCTGTTAACAACCAAACACACTAAACCATCTTCACCGCATGTACAGCTGCAAGCATTCTGTGGCGGTCTTGTGTTTAATACCCCGCTAGTAAGATGCAATCTAGCATCGACTTCTGGTGAGCAACCGGACGCGTTCGCCGATTGCGTCGCAGAGACAGCTTTCTGATGTCCTAACCAAGGCCAGGATACATCGACCACATGCATCAGGGGTTTCTGTGGCTGGGGAAGCCTTCATCCGGTGGTGGACTGGCAAAGCATTGTACATCGCGATACAACTGTTGACCTGCCGTTGTATTTCAATGGAAGAACATTCAAATATGTTATGCATTTTTTGGTTTAACAACCCACTTGCTCTATTGTTTCACATGGCCTTTTCCAGGAAAGTTGATATCTCATCCATCTCAAAAAGTCCCACCGACTCAAACACCCGTTTGGATCATAGTCGCCTGTTACCAAACTCCGTGTTCAAAACCCCGTGACTCAAAACGCAACTTTCGCTGACCAATTCAATATTAACTTCTTGTTTGCAACAGAAGAAAAAAAAACGCACGCATACCACTCCCCTGGGTGGGCATGAAGCAGCAACACTTTCGGTTACCGCCCAGGCACCCTAACCCATAGCACCACGAGAGACAGCTGCTTTTCCTTTGCCAGCTGCTTTGCTTTAAAGCACAGTTCCCCGGAGCTTGCTAAGTGGCAGCGCTGCACCCAACAACGAGCGCAGCTTCGCGCCGTCATCTCCCCCGGTCAGCGCAGACAGAAACAACATTGCACGTGACAGATGGCACTCCCCGACAATCCGCCTGGGAGAAACGGCCGCCTTAATTATTAAAATGAAACGGCAACGATCGCATCAATAATTTAGGGAAAAGGGGTTCTAAAAAAACGTTTAATAAATGCCATTAAGACATGAAGCAAATGCGAAGATGGAAAATGTTCAATTAAGCAAGCGGTTGCCATGGTGTTTAAACGGTTTCGTCTTTAACTGCTGCCCTAATCTGGCCTGCTGCCCACTCTGTACTTAAGCACCAAAGCCATTTTATTGGGCCCTTTATGTAAAAACATATGTTTAACATTGTATGACGTTCAAAAAAAGCATAACAGTGCAGTAAATAATCCTCTGGCATTGAATGTTTGAATAATTTCAAAGAGACCTGCATTTGGCAATGTTCATAATTGGGATCTTGATCCAAGGTTTTCCAGTGGCACCCATTTACAGTATTTATAGTATTTAGCAAGAATAGTGACAGAATGGCAGCCAAGGAATGGAATGCGTCCGACAGAAAATCCACCATGGCAATTAAGCAATGAAATCAAGTGGATTTTTCCACCGTAGCACTACTGGCAATGATTTGGAAAGGCCTTCATCTGGCAATAGATTCATCACGGCTGCTACATGATTAATTGTAACCATCTATCTCGTTGATTGGCGCTGTAATTAGAAAGCATCCCTCAAGAATGAATTCTTAGTTGAGTGCAATTTCTCCTTCACCCTACGCCAGGACTGGATTTAAAAGTGGGGGCGAGGCAAGCAAAAGGCACATTTGCCCAGTGCCCACGTGTCGCCCGATCCGACCTTTAAAAAAATACATATATATTTTAAAATAACGTGACATATTGGGTGTGTGTAGTGGTTAGCGTGCTGCGCTACAAACCCTGCAACCCGAATTCGATTCCCGCTCACGGCCAACACCAGTGATAATTATCTCAACCGGTCCTGGGCCTTCCCTAGGTCGACTCAGCCTCAAATGAGTACCTTGCGGTATTTGATCCACCCCACTGGGGATACAAAGGCGGCCGGGCGTGGTGCTGGCCACCCACCTCCTCGCGTGCCGTGCCGGCCTTCATAGGTGCAACTCGCGAACAGAACTTGTCCCAACAGCCTCTTAAAGGCTATACGGGAAATCTTTGTCTATAGACAGAATATATACAGGGACTCCTCTACTTACAAACGAGTTAGGTTCCAGAGGCCTGTTCGTAAGTCAACTTTACTCATGTCGATTCCAAACATATTGTACGGCATGTACACTAAATACGGGGAATGGCTTTAAAAGTTGTAAAATCTCCTGGGTGGATGCAACTGGTTCTTCACGGTTCTATAGATGTAGACGCCACCACCGCCATCTGTTTGCGCGGTGCTTGAACTTACGAGTCTCGGTCCGAACAGGCAACTGGACACACGGACGAGTTTGTTCGAATCTCTGAAAGTTCGTAAGTTTGATTGCACATCAAAAGTGGGAGGAGAGGCGTGGGCGGGCGGATAGCGGAGTGGTATTTACTGCTCTCCCCTGGGTGGGTCCCCCCGGGTGGGTCCCCCCGGGGGGGGTGCCAAGTGACCAGAAATGTGGCCCTGCCCTACACGCACGCGTGCGGCCAGAACCCAACAGCTCTCCCCTCCCACCTTTCAGGGCGCTGCCCTCCTGGGGGAGCAGCTCGCGCACCACCTGCCCGTCGTCTTCGTTGCGAGCGAGCCAGCGGCGGCACACGAACGTGTACGTCTCCACGTCCCCGTCCGCCGCGCCCGCCGCCTCTCCGCCCGGCCCCTTGCCCGCCAGCGCCGCCATCGGTGCGGCCACCCCGGCGAGGCTCCCGCGACGGCTCCCGTCCCGTCGGCCGGCTCCGGCCTCCCCGTTCGTCCGGGCGCCGTTGGCGGCAGCGGCGGCGGCGAGCTCGCGCTTGCCGCGGAAGCGGCGCACGGTGACCGAGTCGAGGAACCACGCGGAGGAGATGCCCTTGTCGTCGTGACCCACGCGCAGCTTCGCCAGCCGTCCCACGTCCTCCGCCTCCAGCTGTGCGGCACCGGGGACAGAAAGAAGGGAGGGGGGGGAGAGACGCTGACCTTGGGTGGTTGGCACTGCGCGAACGCCGTGTTGCGCGCGCAAGAGCCTGTAGTGGTGATGCAAAATAGCGGTTCCTGTGACAGCTAAACGTGGAGAACGACGCGGCGAGACGGACGAGGAGAGACAGACGTAGAGAAAAGAAAGAGCGGCTGACGCCTGGTAGCTTCAAGAAAATGTCATGAAAGAGCCTTAGAGATGAAATAGCCTGAGTCTTCTCGCAACTGTTTCTGTTAACTGAAAAGTTGGTGGTTCAAACACCACCCAGGGATGCGAGTGTGAAATTATCTTGCACACAAGAAGTCAACATTCAATTGCTGTTGGTACGCAGTTAAGTTGTTTGTCTTACATGCTGGAGAAATACGATTTGCACAGTTACGCGTAATGTTCCTGAGCTCTTCATATTTTGCACACATGACGGTTCCATCTCTTGATGCTGCAGCAGTACTTTGAAGTTGCAATTTTTTTAGTCGTTCATGACCAGACCCCTTGTTGAAAATTCCACTTCCTACCATGTCCGAAATATTCACGTTCACTGGCTTCCACTGGATTGTTCCCATTACTGGCAGCGGTGAACGTGGTTCTTTAAAAAAAATGTGATTAATTCCACGAAGATTTGTCAGCATGCACATACATTCAAATCGAGAAATTAAAAGTTCGCTTCTTGTGAGTGGAAAAAAAGCACACGTCCGTCCCTGGGTGGGCTTGAACCACCAACCTTTCGGTTAACAGCCGAACGCGCTAACCAATTGCGCCACAGAGACAGATGATGATGTTGCTTGGCTGTGCTTTTAAGAACGCGAAACTGCTGATGCTGGAACCATGCTAATTAATTGGGGCAACACAAGATAATAATACTCTTTGGTTCTTTCGGTAAAGTCACGTGAGTATAAAATAAAATAAATCACGACATTTCGGGCACAACACAAGCTATCAATTCCGGTTCAGTGATTCTGCACTTGCTCTATGACTATAGTACTATACCGCCTTCGACTTTTATGAACGACCGGGTGTTTTAAGGTTAGCGATTTGTCGCATTATCTGGCTGTGTAGCAAATAAAAAAAATACAATTACTTTACTATGCAAGTAAAACATTTGTGTTTTAATATTTATGTATTTTTATTTTCGGCACCTTCATAACATTTGCTACAGGCCCCGCACAAGCTTAATCCGGAACTGGGGGTACGAGGAGAGTCAAAGAGATGCAGAGAGAGAGAGAGGGTTAGGAGGAGATGGGCTGATAGAGAGACACCGTGTCATGTTCACAAATGTTTGCAAAGGTATTTAGTGGACGCATTTAAAAGCAGGCCAGTTGCGTTTCTTTTCAGTCAATTGCATTTTAATGAGTTTGAATTTTTCACAAAACATGTGGGTCACGAGTTATCCTTCAAATATAACATACTGTAGGCCATTGCATAATGTACACGGTGCATGTGTAAACAAAGTATAACGCTTAAAAGTATATTTCATTGAAAGTTATAATTACCTCAAAGAAAGTGAATGACCTGCTGACTGACGTGTCTCCCACTTATTGTCCGACAATAAGTCTGCACGGAGTTTTTCTTTTACAAGTCCCCAACTCGATTCGATTTTACGACAGCGAATGTCATTGATTCCTCAAACATGGAACTGCAGGTGGCTTCTTGCAGCTGTCTCTGTGGCGCAATTGGTTAGCGTGTTCGGCTGTTAACCGAAAGGTTGGTGGTTCAAGCCCACCCAGGGACGCAATTGCCAGAATATTTTGCACCCCGTGAGTATCTAAATTCACTTGCTGTTGGTTGACAGTTTAAGCGTCAATCTTAATCACAGTTTAAGTGTTAAGTGTTAATCTTAACATGCTGGAGAAATACGATATGCACAATTACACACTGTTCCTGAACTCATCATATGTTGCATTTAATGATGAACGAGCTTGTTTGCCCGTCCAAGTACGGGTGTATATTGCAATAAATCTGAAATATTAAATAGAAAAATTGTTCAGCTCATGATTATTAATGAGGGAGGGGGGTTGTCCCATGTTGAGTGACGTCACCTGATAATGGTTATTGGGGATGGGTGAAGTGTACATTATACTAATATAATAGTATAAATAGCGGTCATTTTTCTTACCGGGTGTAGTTGCGTATGAATATAATTTGGTGACCTGGAAAATGGTTGGTGGAACATGAAGAGATGGGGATTATCATACATCCCCACCTGCAGATCAATGCCCTGCTCAAATCAGGCGATGCAGTAAGCAGGTTATTAACGTTGCCACGAGTTATTTATCGTCTTCTGTTCCGCCAATCAATGAACACGGCTTAGTGTCAGCAGGGACACAGACTGGAAGCCACTGCAGCTGTCTCTGTGGCGCAATTGGTTAGCGCGTTCGGCTGTTAACCGAAAGGTTGGTGGTTCAAGCCCACCCAGGGACGAGGTTTTTTTTCTATTTTTTGTTGCAAAGGTTAAGTTGTTGGCTAATCTAATAGACACCATGTCATGTTCACAAATGTTTGCAAAGGTATTTAGTGGACGCATTTAAAAGCAGGCCAGTGCCTTTCTTTTCAGTTAATTGCATTTTAATGAATTGGAATTTTTCACAAAACATGTGGGTCACGAGTTATCCTTAAAATACAACAGACTGTGGGCCATTGCATAATGTACACGGTGCATGTGTAAACAAAGTATAACGCTAAAAAGTATATTTCAATGAAAGTTATCATTACCTTAAAGGAAGTGAATGACCTGCTGACTGACGTGTCTCCCTTTGTCCGACAGAAAGTCTGGACGGAGTTTTTCATTTACAAGTCCCCAACTGTGTGTCGCATTTGTTTGTCTCGTGTTGCGGTTAGCTCCGAGCGAATATCATCGGTGGGCTTTGGAGACCACGCGGCCAGCTGAGTTTGTTACCCGCGGTCTCTGTGGCCTGAGTATAGTTTGATTACGCAAAGTCAATACTTAGTTCGATTTGACGACATCGAATGTCATTGATTCCTCAAACATGGAACTGCAGGCGGCTTCATGCAGCTGTCTCTGTGGCGCAATTGGTTAGCGCGTTCGGCTGTTAACCGAAAGGTTGGTGGTTCAAGCCCACCCAGGGACGTGCGATTGCTTTTTATCGCAATGAAGTTACATTTTAATTGCTCGTTTTAAATGTATGTGCATGCTGACAAATGCTCGTGCAATTAGAAAACAACATACTCTTAAGAACCACGCTCACCACTGCCAGTGCAGGCCAGTGAACGTGAATGTTGCGGACATGGAAGTAAAGTGAAATGTTTCACACGGGGAGTGGTGATGAACAACTCACGAAGAGCAACGTCAAAGTCCTGCTGGAGTCATTAACAGATGGAAACTTCGCGTGTTTGAGACACCAACTTTGAGATGGAAAACTTGCCAGTCGGACGCAGTCAAACCAAGTTACGTTGCCAACCAAATTTTTGGAGCGTTTCAAATGTTCTCCCAATGCGCTGCAATGGCTCACAATCAGTCGCAATGTGTTACGTGCAGCACAGGACACGCCAACCTCTGATGCCCGTGGCTGATGTCTGGTAGCTTAAAGTCTCAGAGCAAGTGCTGTGTTCGCGAGTGTGTTAAGTGTTTGCGAGTTTGTTTTGTTTGCGCGCGGTCAATTCTGGATGTATGTTTATTCACAGTTGAATATCGTTGAGAGTGTAAGCTTTGTTTTTTTTCGGTAAAGTCACGTAGAAATAAAATTTTAAAAATTACATAATATACGACGTTTCGATTGCAACACAAGCAATCATCATCAGGTAGAGGAAACACATAACCGCAGACATATATAAATACCTTAAGTAGATTGAATTAGCACACATATACCAGGGGATACAGAAAAAAAACAAAGATTAATTCCTGCATATTCTTAGCTCTTTCGGTAAAGTCACGTTGAAGGGAAACAATAAAATATATATTAAAACAATTTAAAAAATTCTCACGACGTTTCGACCATAACACAAACGGTCATCATCAGGTGTAGGCTGTGTAGGCTGATGATGACCGTTTGTGTTATGGTCGAAACGTCGTGAGAATTTTTAATGTTTTTATATATTTTTTATTATTTTATTGCTTCCCTTCAACGTGACTTTACCGAAAGAGCTAAGAATATGAATTACTGCAGACACGAAAGCTTTAAATCAAAATTAATTCCTGCAGTCACGAAAGCACCAAATCGAGATCGAGAGTGTCCCTGCAGCTGTCTCTGTGGCGCAATTGGTTAGCGCGTTCGGCTGTTAACCGGAAAGTTGGTGGTTCAAGCCCACCCAGGGACGAGGTATTTTTTTCTATTTTTTGTTGCAAAGGTTAAGTTGTTGGCTAATCTAATAGACACCATGTCATGTTCACAAATGTTTGCAAAGGTATTTAGTGGACGCATTTAAAAGCAGGACAGTGCCTTTCTTTTCAGTTAATTGCATTTTAATGAATTGGAATTTTTCACAAAACATGTGGGTCACGAGTTATCCTTCAAATACAACAGACTGTGGGCCATTGCATAATGTACACGGTGCATGTGTAAACAAAGTATAACGCTAAAAAGTATATTTCAATGAAAGTTATCATTACCTTAAAGGAAGTGAATGACCTGCGGACTGACGTGTCTCCCTTTGTCCGACAATAAGTCTGCACGGAGTTTTTCATTTACAAGTCCCCAACTGTGTGTCGCATTTGTGTGCCTCGTGTTGCGGTTAGCTCCGAGCGAATATCATCGGTGGGCTTTGGAGACCGCACGGCCAGCTGAGTTTGTTACCCGCGGTTTCTGTGGCGTGAGTATATTTTGATAACGCAAAGTCAATACTCAGTTCGATTTGACGACATCGAATGTCATTGATTCCTCAAACATGGAACTGCAGGCGGCTTCATGCAGCTGTCTCTGTGGCGCAATTGGTTAGCGCGTTCGGCTGTTAACCGAAAGGTTGGTGGTTCAAGCCCACCCAGGGACGTGCGATTGCTTTTT